AAACTGGTTCATTTGGTGGATCAGAGCCCTTGGTTGTAAGTAAAACCTACTTGATAAAAATATATGTTTACTCTGTGGAGTTTATAAAAGGGTTGAGAGCAGCAAATGATGGAAGGGATTCTCCAGCCTACCAACTCATGTAGATGGCATGGCCCTTCCTGGAGGCAGGAGTCCTAGCTAGGCGCCCTCATTTTAACAAAAGGTGTTCAGTGCGAACATGTGCTTAGGTGAAATTCAGAGCCTATGGCTCCACCCTAAACCAGAAACTCAGAATATCAGTTTAGGTGTTTGGGTGCTTATCAAGGAGGCCTGGTGGCACAGTTGTTACGTGCTGGCTGCTAACCAAAAGGTTGGCAGTTGGACCCCACCAGCAGCTGCAGGAGAAAGATGTGGCAGTCTGTTTGCAAAAGATTTACAGCCTTGGAAACCCTATGGGACAGTTGTACTCTGTCCCATAGGGTTGCTATGAGTTGTAATCAACTCTATGACAATGGGTTTGGTTTAGTAGGATTTGAGGTGCTCATCAAAACACGGTTGTTTAGGATTTTCTGCTATCTAGCTTTTATCAAGGTGTCCCTGGGTTAACTTGACTACTAGCCAAAAGGTTGGTGGTTCAAACCCACCCAGAGGAACCGGGGAAGAAAGGCCTGACAATCTGCCTCTGAAATGCCACAGCCTTAAAAATCCTGTGGAGCAGTTTTACTCTGTACACATGGGGTCATCATGAGTCAGAATCGACTTGACAGCAACTAATGACAGCTGAGAGAAGATGTTTTTGGAATATTGTTTGAAAAACCTGCTGCTTATATATTCTTTTGCTACATAAATTTCTGTTGTACATTAACTGTATTTTAGAGTCCTAAGCAAAACTTTTTCCAATACTTTGTTATACTCTCAATTTGTACCCAAAGTTGGGGGGCGGGGGAGGGGGGAAATGGAAGCCAAAAGATGAGGACACCTTTTGTTGTATCTTTTGTAAAATGCCCTGTGTGAAATTTCTCTTGGAGTTTAGTACAAGAAAAAACTTTGCTTCTTTTTGTGTTTTTTCGTATTTTTGATTTTTCAGTTTGCTAGGAAACTCTGAATTTTATTTACAGCTCAACTCTTTAACAATTATGTGGAACTATAGACTGCTTTATTTATGTTTTTGTTTTTTCTATTCTTGCTTTTTTTCCGTTATTTGTATTTTCATGGTTTTTATTTCTATTGTATAATTATCGTATGTTTTCCTGTTTTAAGTCATCACAAATCTTTTTGGAAAACTAGCCAAGCATCTAGAACTGTTCTGGTACACAGAAGGCACTCAGTAAATACTAGTTACATTCACTCAAGTGAGTTGAAAAGTGATTAATCCACAGGGGTATTTATTTGGTAATGAAAAAATTAGAAAACACTTTCCTGCAATCTTTATAGGCTATAAGACCTAATTTATCGCTGTTCATTTTGTGTTGGCTTTTTTTTTTTTTTAATATTTCTAAATGTAAATTGCCTCTTCAATAGATTGTAAATTCAGAGGAAAGAGTTATAAAACACCTGACAGTGCTATTTAAAGTAGCATAACCTCAGAAAATACTTGTGATTGATTAGGACAACTGCAAACCAAAAAAAACAAAAAACGCTCATTGCTGTTGAGTCGATTCCGACTCATAGCAACCCTATAGGACAGAATAGAACTCCCCATAGGGTTTCCAAGACTGTAATCTTTCCAGAAGCAGGCTGCCACATCTTTCTCCCATGGAACCGCTGGTGGGTTTGAACCTTTCAGTTAGCAGCTAAGCGCTTAAACCACTTTGCCACCAGGGCTCCGAACAACTGCAGAGACTCATAAACTGCTTCAGTGATATAAGAAAACTAAGAAGGACTGCCCGTGGTTTTGATGGGAAAACACAACATACAGGCAATGTTCCCCTGCCCTGACAGTTGAGTTAGTTAGAGCAGTCATGCACATATGCCAGGTCTGTCAAGAAAGTTAATACTTAAAAGTTAATGAAAAAACAAACATTGCCGTTACAACATGTCAGGAATGAGAACTAATAGAGAATTGCCAAATATCAGGGATTTAACAGAAATTCCAGGTCCTACTGACACAACTTTGGATCCCAGCTTCACTTTGAGACATCAGTGAGGTATTTAAAGGTTGTGTGCTTCCATTTCTTCACCTACAAAATAGCTACTATAATATCTATTTTACCTCAAAAAGTCTTAGACGTCAGTTTTTTTTATCTGTAAAATGTAGAGAATTATGCCCATTTTGTAGGATTGATAAGTATGCAAAGCACTTGGCTCCAGGAAATGGGAACAGAATAGATAACATTAAGTCTTATTGATCAACTTTCTTCTTAGTGTATTCTGGGCATTTAGATATGTTATTTAATTTTGAAAAAATGTTGAAGCTGGTACAATTATCCCCATTGAGGAGACAGGTTAAGTTACTTACCAAAGTCTGCATCTAGTAAGTCATACAGCTAGCATTTGAACCCTGACTTCAAAGCTCGTGTTTTTAATCAGTGTTTTGCATAGCACCTCAATACATGTTAAGGTGTTCAATAAAATTTAGTCTTCTTAGTTCCATTCTGCATTTCAGGAAAAGGTTTTTGAGTGTGAGACGGGAGTCTAGTCTCTGTTATCCTCTGTGGTTTGGAAACTTTACTCTCTACGTTGAATCCTGTGAGGTCATGGATTCCCAGACACTACCTCTTCCCCCTGCCAACACCATAGTTGCTGGTTGCATATACAAACATACGCCAGGCCCTTAAGATAAATGCCATCTTTGTCTAGGGCTGGGAGGAATGGAGGATTGAGGGGTGATACCTAAAGGGTACTGGGTTTCTTTTTGTGGTGATTAAAGTGTTCTAAAACTGATGTGGTAATGGTAGCACAACTCAAAAACCATTGAATTGTGCACTTTAAATGGGTGAATTGTATAGTATATGAATTATATCTCAGTATATCTGTTGTTAAAAAAAAGAATTAGGGATCCTTGGAAATACAGCTAATTCTGTGTCTGAAACAGAAAAATGCAAGGTAAATCCAGACGATCTTCTTGTGCCACAAAACAGTGAGGTGCAGAAAAACTGATGAAGATGTGTGAAACGACACAGCTTGAAATGGAGCCCACTGGCCAAATTTGGGACAATTAAAAAAAGAAAAAAACCCTTTGCCGTCAAGTCGATTGCAACTCATAGCGACCCTATAGGACAGAGTAGAACTGCTGTATAGGGTTTCCAGGGAGCTGCTGGTGGATTCGAACTGCTGACCTTTTGGTTAGCAGCTGAGTCTTAACCACTGTGCCACCAGTGCTCCTTGGGACAGTTAAAGCATCAAAAAATAATGGCTGTAATATATGCTACCATTTAGAGCTATTTTTTTTAAAGTCAATCAACAATTAAGAAAATAGTCTTTTTTTTTTAATTAATGGATAGCATATGATGTGAACCAAGTTTCTTAATATTGGCTTGGGAGATTACAGATAAGCAAGAGGAGGCGGCAAGAATGATCCATATGGGAAAGGATTAGCATTGGAGACATCAGTATGAACTCATGTTCAGCTTAGTATTATACAGATAATTTCATCTAGAAGTATTTAAAGGTAGATCTTGTTACGGATTAAATTGTGTCTCCCAAAAAGATACGTTGATGTTCTAACCCCTGTACCTGTGAATGTGACCTTGTTTGGAAATAGGGTTGGGTTTTGTTGTTGTTATCAGTTAGATTAAACAAGATCATACTGTAGTAACATGGGTCCTAATCCTAATCCCTTCTGAGTGGTGTTTTATAAAAGGGGGGAACAGACACAGAAACAGTTACACAGAAAGGAAAGACAGACAGCTTGTGACAACCGAGGTAGATGCATCCGCAGACAGCAAAGGAATGCCAAGAATTGCTGGGAGCCACCAGAAACTAGGAGAGAGGCATGGAACAGTTCCTCTCTCTAAGACCCCAGAAGAAATCAACATGACCAGTGCCCTTATTTGGACTTCTAGCCTCCAGAGCTGTGAGGTAATAAATTCCTGTTTTTTGAAGCCACACTACTTTGTGGTATTTTGTTATGGCAGCCCTGGACAACTAAGGTGTGTTTACACAGGTTAGAGTATACATATATATTCCCTTGCTCTGTCAGCCGAATTAACCAAGAAGTAACAACATCCCAGTAGCAGCAAGCACACCTATTGCCCAGATGTTGGTCTCTAGTACCATTCCCCAATAAAAACGCTCCTTGGAGA